TAATCCCAACTATATGAACCATCCGCCAATAATGGTCCATGACCAAATATTACCTTCTATAAAAGTGAATTTTAAATAGAAATTAAACGTAAAAATTAAAAGTTGAGATTATTTATCGAGATTACTTGCTATATCTCTTCTCATCCACTTCAGAAAGTACATGAATTTATTTACAGGGACTGTTATTGGCGGAAGGACCCTAAAGTTGAGATTATTCTGAAATAATCGATAGTTGGGATTATTATAAGCGGACCGCCAATAGTTGGGATTATTACAATCAATTTTTCCTTGTTTTTATTGGCCATACTTCTCTTTTCTTTTCTTTCCTTATTACTTCACCTTTTCTTCCCTTCTACTTGTATTTCTTCTTTCTCGTGAACATCCCTTCGGTCTGTAACAATGCTTTATACCATTTTCATTTTTTTTTGTTTTGGACAGTTGGACACAACTCTAACCACCATCTTTTATATTAGTTTAAAATCAGTCATTTAATCACCTTTGTCCCAGTCCCTTAGTAGCACTCGATCGAATGGCTAAAACAAAAGAATTAAAGTTGGCCATGGTTGCACGTTCAGGCTTTCTTCTACCTCTGTAAGTCACTTCCCGACTTGGTCTTTGGCTCTATCATTCTCTATAGAGGACGAAGGTCCCTTTTTTGTTTGGATCACCATCGCCTATGAGGAAGTGGGCATGTGTATTGATGTTAAGCTTTCTCAAACGGACGGGAGAAGCGACTCTGATGAACTGGATAGGTAGATAATGAAGACGAAGGTCACCTGAAGCTAGTCTTCTCACCATCCTCTTTCTCTCCGCCTGACTGTATCCTAACGGCAATGGTGTCTGGAGAGAGCTCAATATTTCCGGAGTCTGTTGAAATCAGCCACCAAATTCCTCATAATGTTGAAATTGAACGGCCCAAAATAAAAAACACAAGAAATCAGGGTGAAATCCAAATCAAAAACTTAAAATTTGGGGGTGAAAGGAAATCGACCAGTAATCCGATGCAGAAGGTTATCTGTTCACCCTTTTACCGGTTAAACAAGTTGCAGATGAATACAGATCAATTTGGGAAGACATTAGTACCGTTTGGGATTATTCTAGAATTAATTATAGTAGGGATTAATATCAGAAGAGGGTCGATAGTTGGGATTATTAATGTGAATTTTTCCTTTAAGTTTCTAGTAGTTTGTATACTTTTGGATCAGATCAGACTTAAACATGCTAGATCAGACCAGACTTGACTTTCGTAGTTGCAAAATACGTAGTACACAGAGACCGGACGTTACTAGACCAGACCAGACCAGACCAGTTCAAACCAGGTCAGACCAGATCAGATTTAAACAGATCAGACAAGCAAATTACAGTCCAAGTAAAAACACCCTTTGTACACTTTGTCACCATCTTATTTTGATTGATAAAAATGTTTATTATTGTTACTTATCAGCTAATTATTTTATTAAATATATGATTTATTATTATGTATAATAATTAAAATAAATTTTACCAATTCGGAATCTGAAAGATAGATGAATTATAAATCCGGACCCGAAAGATTAAATATATCGGTATAGGGCCCAAATGATGAAAATTTATTAATCTAGGACTTGACATTTCATAGGTTTTGATTTATCTATCATTTGTTGAACCCTATATCGATACATTTCATCTTTCAGAACTTTTTTTTATCTCCAACTGACAGGTATGTTAATTCACCAAACCATGTGCCAGAAGGCTTACAATAGTGTCTGGAATAACATCATAACAACATGACTGATCTGGGATAGAGACATGTGCTCTTGCTAACGCATGAGCAATACGATTCGCAGATCGCTTACAAAAAGAGATAGTAAGATTACCTCTTATCTTTCAATAAATTTCTAATGTCCTCGATGAGGAGGAAAAGATAAGCAGACCCTCCCCCATTTTTGAGCCCATGGACCACTAGGAGAGCATCGGTCTCAATCTCCACATGTGATCATCCTACCTCGGCCGCCCCCTTCACAACCTCACAAACGCCCACCGCCTTTGTCTCCATAATCGACCAACTAGCTAGTTCTTAGGCCCCCTTTGCCTTTAGAAAATTCCCATGGTGATCACGTGCAACCCACCCCCAGGCCCGAATATTCCTGTCCTCATCCACCGCCCCATCCACATTTATCTTGATATAACCAGCCTGCGGGCGCTTCCAAATAGTCATCGCCCTAGTATCGTTCCTTACCTGCGCTGCTCCTCCAGTACCTTGCGCATCTCTTCAGCTCGAAATAATTCCCGCCGCCGCGTTTATAACTCCCGCGGCTCCTTGCCATCTATCCTTCTAGACACAGTCATTCCTCCTCTTCCATAAACTCCACAAGATAGCAACAAATCTGCAGCGATCCTCCCCATTTGATCCGCCTAAGTGATGCCAAATTCATCTTTCAGAACTTAGATTGATATTTCGTTTATCTTTCAAGTTTTGAATTTATAAAGTTTCTAATTAAAATATGTAAGGTTAAAGTTACTATTTTGGATGAATTGATTAAAGTTACAGCAGAGGACAACTTTAATTGTTTTCATGTATATTTTGTTAACTTTATTGACAAAATATATTTTCAATACAATTTCACCATAATAAATAGTTTCATTCATCCAACCAGTTCAACAAGAATTACATAAATATCAGCATATTTAGCTGATTCGATCCATTTTAATGTTACAGAACGGGCCCTTATATAATAGCAAAATAAGAAATTGTCCTAAATAAGAGTGAAAAATCACTCCTTCCGTCGGTTAAAATTTTGTCATCTTTGCTTCTGTTGGTCAACTGAGTTAAACTTTGTCTAATGATATATTTTTACAGGAAATGATTTTTAAAATAAAAATTACACGAAGGTGTTCTTTGTCAAAATACTTTCACCAAAGTATAAAAATTGCAACTTTTGTAAATTATACCAATCAAGATCATTTGCCAGAGATTACTAAACATTGATTTGAAAAGTCACAAAAAGGGAAAATGTTAAGAAACGGGGGTTGTAACTTCTGTGAATTTCAAAATAGGAATGTCATGTTTTTATTCTTTAAATGATAGTAATTAATCTCATAATTTGTCATTATCACTAACTAAACTTAAAACATGGCAATATTTTCAAATATTGGCAGTTTTTACTCTCATTTATTTAAGAGGCAAAACATGGTACTCCTATTTTGGAATTCTAAAACGCTTTCACTCCTAAACAGAAATTTTCCATGATAAAATATTTCGTTCGTCTTATTGAATTCACCAATTTTCTTGTTCGTGTATTCCAAAAAAATTACAATTTTTTGAAAATCAAGTAACTAATGTGTGGTTTTGTTCATTTATCCTTTCTCTTCATTTATTATCTTACCTAATTCAAAGTTGACGATATCCATTTGAACTAATGTAATATACACAAAACACATCTTTCGTGTCAATTCAGGCCTGACTTAAACGGAACAGAACAGAGCACATCATACCAGATCAAAAAGATTCCAGCCAATTTAGGAACATTCTAAGAACAAAAGTGCCTATTTGCACTCATATTCTGAAATTTTGGTGTTTTGCGTTAGGGATGTGTGTGGTCCAAGGCGGTCCAGTAATTACCAAGACATGTACCATAAAATGGGTTTCCTAACGATTTGGTACAATCCAACTTTAGGGTTTAAAGTGTTTGATATCACATCCTTTTAGCTAAGCATGGTCCTATATCTATAAAATAAAGCAAACTTTTAGCACAACCCTATGGGAAATGATGACATGTGGCAAAATTCTTTGCAAGGAAGCTTGACATGTGGAAAGTCTATGAGCAATTGAAATTTGTTAGATATCTTTAGCATGTGTCCGCAGAGACTATAGAGTTGATATATCAATTACTTCATGAATATCAAAAGACATTGTAAATACACATACATCCCACATTAAATATTATTAACAATCAAATCAATTCATGAAATTTTTTATGCAAAATTCATCATTGGTCATTAGGAAACAATTTTTCTATGCCTTAATAAAGGGGTAGGCTACGTAGATCTGACCCCCCTTTACCCCCACCGTAAAGAGACTTTTTTGGCATTGTGGTAATGTTGTTGTTACTTTATTGATAGTTTTCAATCATTTGCGCCTTCTATTGACACATTCCATCTTTCAGGCCGTGGAATGATAGTTCATCTATCTTTTAGGTTTTAGATTGATAGAATCCTTAAAACCCAATAAAAAAGGTTGGAGTTTTTTAATAGAGTGAATTATTTTAACAATAAAGTACATTTAAAAATTAACTTTTCACAATTCAGCATATTCAACTCATATAATCGTTTCAAGACTTTCAACCGATCCAGTCAAATTTAGTATTCTCAAACATACTCGCTCATATATCTAATCTTCACATCCATCCCTTTTCACCTATTTCTACCACACATACAAACAAATAAAATTACCGTGCGATGCACGGGTACATACACTAGTTATATCAATATTATTAAATTTGAGAAAAAATGTTCAAGCTTGATGGACACACAAATATATACTTAGTGATGGATGGATGTGAGGGATTGCACCAAGATGTGGTGCAGGTAAGCATGGTACAATATTATATCAATACTATTTAATTTGGGGGGGGGGGGGGGGGAATGTTCAAACTTGATGGACACATGAATATCTACTAGTAAGAGTTTTAGCTCTCTACAATATTATATCAATACTATTAAATTTTAGCTCTTCCAAAAAATTTGGAGAAGGTCGGAGATAACTAGGTACGTTGTGAGTCATCTCCGACCTTCTCCAAAATCTGATCTTTCAGAGTTTTAGCTCTTTCTTCTTCAATCAGTAAGAGTTTTGGAAGATTGTGATCGACATTCTCGGTAAAAGATCAAATCAAAGATTTTTCAATACTTTTGCTCTTTTTAAATTTTTACTTTCGAGGGGTTTGGTCCGGCTTCCTCGTTGGGCAGGACTTTTGCCTGCTTCATGTGAGCGTGTGATGTGTTATTCTCCTAATAATGTGTAGATGTTGTGTGCTCCTCATCGGTGTAATCGATATGAGGAATTTTCGTTGTGCTTGGTTGGCAAAGCTTTTCCAACATTTACATTATGAGGCTTCAATTATTCGTCATACACCTGAACCACCGCCTCACTATGGGAAGAAGAAAATGCTCAATTGGATCTCATTTTTCGGTGGTTGGTCAAACCGATGATTCAGAAAACTTCTATACGACTGAGTTTCCTTTGTTAAGTTGGTTGCTGGTCAAACCAATTCTTCTTTTCCGGTGGCTGATGAAGCCGATATTTTTTATTTAATTTGTTCCCTTTCTAGTTTGGACAATTTATTTTATTTCAATTCCCTTTTGAGCAGCAAGTTCAGTAGTGTTGTTAGATTAGTCTATATAATTGCGGGATTAGCGAATCTGTTTGGTCCTTATAGGCCATTGGATTCAATGTCTCATCTCAGTGTAACCTCGAACTATTGTATTGCTTTATCTCTAACAAAAGAAGAATTTCCTTTTTGTCAAAAAGAAGAATTTGTTGGTTTTATTGGGATCAGAAACACCCTATTCGGGGCCTAATCCTTTTATTAGACCCGATTTGCCCGCACCACATCATGGTGCAATCCCTCATATCCATCCACTGCTTAGACCATTTGGAGTGGTATGAGAGTCTAAATGTCAAAAATGGACTCCGTCCATATGAAAACAGTGTTTTGACTCCTATTTCTCTGCATCCCAATTCCTTGCGCCGTCAATAAAATACACTCTGCACATTTTTATACATATCAATTTAGTAAAACATTGATTAAATTATTATAAGTAAATTTCTTCTTTTAATATAGGGAAAAGTACGGAAAAACTACTTGTGGTTGGACTCATTTGCAAATAGGGTCATGTGTTTCACTCTTTATCAAAGTGGTCCATGTGTTTCGATTCCGTTATCACAAGAGGGTCACACCGTTAAAAACGTCTAAGAAAGACGGTTAAAAGTAACCATGATTTTCAAAAGTGTCCGAAAAATTAAAAGAAAAATACCGGAATGTGCGTCTCAATAAGGCGACCGCTAGGCCATCTTTCTTTTTTGTCTTCAGCCACGTTTGTTACCGGAAAGTCCACCGGAAAAGTGATATTAGCGAAATCATTTTTAAAATGTAATTCAAATAGATCCAAAAAATCCAAAGGCGAGGGTGGTTTGGAGGTCATCTTGACGAGGCGCACCTTTCGGTATTTTTCTTTTAATTTTCCGGACACTTTTGAAAATCGGAGTTACTTATAATCGTCTTTCTCAGACGTTTTTAACGGCGTGACCCTCTTGTGATAACGGAATTGAAACACATGAACCACTTTGATAAAGAGTGAAACACATGACCCTATCTGCAAACGGGCCCAACCACAAGTGCCTTTTCTGTACTTTTCCCTTTAATATATTCCCTGAATAATTATGAAACAAAAATGCACATTTTGATGTAAAATTAAATAAATTTCATTAAGTTTTTTAAACATTTTTCGGTTAACAAAAAATGAACTTAGTTCAAGTAAAGTTTGATTACGGAATATTAAGTTATTTGTGAAGGCTACATGAATTAAAAATTTGTGTTTTGTGTTTTTTTTGGGCTCTTGAAAACTTCAAGAGTTAAAATTTCAGTTTTTTTTTTCATTTTATATACTTCGTATTACATATTGGTGTCATATGAAAGAGTATAAAAAGTTATGAATTTTGATACGGAGTATATTTTTGTCAAAAATTTGATTTGTATAAAACAAATTATAAAAATTTTAATAAAGATGGGGTTTTTATTTTCTGTGGCCCATTTACCACCCACCCCTCATGATTCCTTTCTACGGAGTATTTGGCAAAGTATCACTCCCACGAGAATTATAAATCTTAAATTTAATTAAAAAATCGATTAATTAATATTTAATTAATGATTAAACATAAACTTAATTAAAAAATTAATGAATTTAATTTATTAATATTTAATTAATTACTAAACTTAGTTTAAATATAAAAAATTAATATGTTTAATTATTAAACTTAACTTTAATTAAAAAATTAATGTTTATTAATTATTAAACCTCATTTAAAATGCATGATACTTTAATAAAAAATCACGAGAGTCCATCGGTTGGCTAGAATTGGACTCCTCCCTCCCCATCTCCATTTTTAGCCTACTCAAATGCTCTCCAATGTAAGAAATTAGGAGTCTAAAATTTCCATTTTTAGCATTTTAGACTCCTAATACCTTACCACTACAAATGGTCTTAAGGAGTATTTCTTATGAACACTAACGTTCATTTTTCACCAATTTAGTTTGCTTGTGAATTTGATTTTCTAAATAGTTGGAAATTGGCCGGGAAGAACTGGTTAAGTAGAGAGCGTAATTTTCCAACTACCCCATCCAATTCTTTTTTATGTTTGAAATCAACTCACTTGGAGAAGTATATATTATCTCAGAGTTGTTTTAAGATAAAAGAAAAGTTTTGTGTTCTATCACGCACGCAATACCAAATGTTGAAATAAAGCATATAAACTAAGAAATGATATTGGAGAGAAAATGATTTTCTGCGGAGGGTTAAGTCTCTATAAATATACATTACAAAGATAGAATATACCTATAAATTCTATACAACAATAATATCCTAAAATATATTCCTAAAATATTACAAAGCATAGTCTAATATCTTTCACACCAAATAAGACTAAAATGTACTCAAGTTGCTATGTGTTTATGAGTGCTGACTCGTGACTATATGCATATATGCCAGATCTGAATTGATATTACGTTTGGAAAGATATTGTTAGAAAATCTTATTTGAATAAGTTTTGGAGAGTTCTATTAAAAATTTCGAAGTGTTTGACATCAAACTTTGACAAGTTTGATAAGTTTTTAACAAGTTTGATAATTTTTTATTTGTGTAAACTTTAGGAGACGATAGTGTGATACACTTTTAATAAGTGAGAATGCGGAATTATTGATTTATGAAATCACTTCATCATTTTTATGGTTGAAAAATATAAAAAAATATATATTTTATTTAACCCTAAACGTATTTCATGGAATGCAAAAGCCATATTGGCCTTCGTGGCTTCGTCTGAGCTCACTTGACTAATTATCTCACATAAAACTTTTAAAAATAAAAGGGTTTTATACAAAAAAAATACTAATACAAAACTTATTTATACAAATATGATTAATAGTTACTACAATGCATTGTCATGGTAATTTAAATTTAAAAGTTGAACACAAGTTACTATGATTTAATTACTACTTTAGTCACTAATCGTTTTTGTAAACAATCTTTATTTTAGTCATAAGTATGTAATTATTTCAAGATTAAAAGTGATGTCCATATTCCATGATAAATAAATGGAGCAACTCCAAATGATCCAGATTTAACTCTCAAATATCATGAAAATTCACTTATACTTTTAATATTTTTCACGGCTATACTAAATTTATCATATCAGTGCTTGTTTAATTTGTAACTTCTTTTGGCAAACTACATGAAAATTTAGCTATGTTTTATGAATTAAAAAATTTGAAATGTGACTTTTTTTGGAGGGAGTATTAAGTTGAAGATCTCCACAAACCAATACTGCATCTTAGCACGTTCATCTACTCTGACTTTTTGTAATTTCAGAGCTTCCTTTGAAATGTAAAATTAGGCATCATCAACATAAAGACTACACAACAAATTAAAGCTCTTGAGACCTAGGCCAAACAGAAATTAGAGCAAAATATCTTGTTCTTATCCAGAGATAGATAAAGAGAAATGAATTTCCTTATCGATATTTGCTTTCACCAAGGGAGCATCAACAAGTCCATGAAGATGATCTCTTGATCACAGGCTTCATTTGCTTGTCCTCTTCCAATGATATCATCCCCAAGTGCGAAGGATCTTCCAACAGCATTTTCGCGACCAGATATCCAGCAATAGACCATGTCTGGTGCTTCCTAGCCTGCTTACCTATATATCTTCCAAGTTTCCCATCATAGTATTCTGGCCAGCCATCTTTGAGCAGCCGGCTTTCCGCAAGATCGATTGCCCTTCTTGCAATTTGTGGTCGCCCGGTCTTGATGCATGCAGCAGTTAGCAACCACAGCAGCACTGCATATGAGACCAGAAAAGAGTGTAGCATGTTAGAGAGAGAAATAAAGCCCATTGTATTATTTGCAAACAAAGGTAAAGTCCTATGCCATCTCATATATGGTCGCAATTTCAGAACATTTTGGCATATTCCTTTTTGGAAAGAAATATGTGGTCCACATCATTTCACTTTATTATACTCAACCTCAAACAAAACTTTTACTTTTCCAACCAATAATTGCACCGAACCAAGACAAGAGACAAAAAATGGGACAGAGGCATCATTTATTCAGAATGAACCATTTTTGTCCGCCCAACATTTTATTTCCATCCAAATTTCCCCTAATGTTTTCTCCCTAATTCTTCCATGGGCATTTCCCTAATTCCAAATGGACCCTAAAAGAAGACATGTAAAGAAATATGGAAGAACCTGGCCAAGATCCTCCATTGTGATAACTCCATCTTGTATTTTTTGGATCACACCCGGTAACGATTCTCCATTCATGATTCTCCAGTGCAGGATAAGTTACTTTTAAAGGCATCTCCCCTACCAGCTCATCCCAACGTGCTTCGATAAGATCCATAACAGCAGAAGCTTGTTCTGGAGTGGCAAGGGAAGACAAGATGGCCACACAATTACCCAAGGCAAACCACCTAAAATCCATCATTGCAGGGCTAACATTGGCTACGAAGTAACCACCACGTGTAGGCATAAAGTCAAATACCCAATCTGGGATTGAATCAGGGATGACATTGAACTTATTTACCGCTGTATGAGAATATTCTTCAGTTTTATAACGGTAAATGTCATTTAGCTGTTGAAAGTCCACCCAGAAGTAACTTCTCATGTGGTAACTCAACGCATGTAAACGTTTTACTATTCTCTCAATACATTCTTTTCCTTCAGCATCTTGCTTTAACATTCCCAAAGCACTCCTCAACGCCATAAAGAATAGTGCTTGGATTTCAATAGGATAACCATAGATTCCCTGAAATAACCCCAAATATGGTACTGTGAGATACTGTTTACTTGCCATCTTTTCACTTTAAAAGTAAGCATCAAAAAAAGGAAAATTGAAAAGAACTTGATAAGTCCCGTTGTCTTTGTATATCAGCCCGATTGAGAACATGTCCAAATTAAACGAACATTACAAGTTGCTGTTCATTATAGTAGAAGGTTTGTTGAACTAGACAAAAACAGTGAAGTTTTAAGGGCTTTCCATTAAATAAAATGGCATGAATGAAACAGAAAAGTTAAATTAGTCTCCAAAACAGCACTTCTTGCTTCTACTGAAGTTGACTGGCAACTAGAGGCCAGCGCAAGCTATAAAGTTGCATATGGGTTTACAACTTATCCTCACATTCACCACTAAATCCAAATAAAGAAATTTAACTCTCACTTCATTGGCCAAGCACCTTCTGGTTCGATGACATCACTATGACACTCCCAAGGCAGAGGTCATAGGTTCAAAACTCATCCCAGTCCAGGATGTTGACATTTAAGAGAACATATACTATAATTTGTATACTATAATATGTGAGAAAGTACAAGAAAAAAGAACTCTAACTTCACTGAAAACATTACTAAACTCAAAATAAAAGAGGCACTACCCAACATAGAGGTTTTATTGAGATCACAAAACATATGTC